GGGGGGGGGGGGGGTTATGCAGGAGGAGTGGAGGAGGAGATTCCAAAGGAGTAGGGGAGGGGAAGGGGAAAGGGGAGGAGTCTGGGGGGTACTTTAGGGGAGGGGGGAGGGGAGGGGAGGGGGAAGAGTCTGGGTGCACTTGCCTAAGGTTCTTGCCCTCAAATTGCAAAAGATATGCAGTCATTCCCCCAGGCAGGAGGAGTGGAGGAGGAGATGCCAAAGGAGTAGGGAGGGGAAAGGGAAGGGGTGGGGGGAGGAGTCTGGGGGGTACTTGAGGGGAGGGGGGAGGAGTCTGGGTGGTGCACTTGCCTAAGGTTCTTGCCCTCATAAATTGCAAAAGATATGCAGTCATGCCCCGAATACACATAATGCAACATATAATGCAACGAAATGCAATCACGCGCAAATGCAACGAATGCAAATATTGCATAATGCAACGAAATGCAATCACGCGCAAAATGCAGAAAATGCAAATGCAACGAAATGCAATCAGCGAACGCAGTTGTAATGCAGTTGTAATGCAGGTGAATGCATGCGAATGCAAAAAATGCAAAAAACGCAATGCATGGGCAAAAACCACACGCATTTTTGGGCAAGAACCACACTTATGCCGTCCGACGGCACACCGGCAAAGATCTTCGTGTCGCCGATGCAGGGCAGGTCCCCAATCACGCCCTGGTAAATGTACAAGTCCGTCCACGTAGTGCTGTGCTCGCAGTGAAACTCGTGCTCCACCGCGCCGCGCCCCAGCTTGCCCCGCAGCAGCTCGACGAGGTCCAGGAGGACCTCCTTGTGCCGCGTCTGGTGGCCCGCCGCGCCGTCGTTCTGCGCCACGTCGCCAAGGGCGTCAAAGGGCAGATCGTGCTGGCCACAGATGCCGTCCGCCATAACGTCCGTCGTCATCGACAGGTTTTATCCGAAGCGGCGCTGCAGCGCGAAGCGCAGCACGTATGAGGGCAGACGGAAGTGCGCGCGGGTCGGGATCGCGTTCAAGAACGCGCCCGCGCCGAACTGGCTCACCGAGACAAACCGCACCTGCTCCCTCCTCCCTGCGCGGCCCGCCGCCGCATGCATGTCCCTCCAGGCCGAATGGTGAATCGTCGCGGAGTATCGGCGCTGAGCGTGTTGGAGAAGATTGCTGCGCGAGCTCCATTCGGTAAGCGGAAGATATGTATGCGCCGGGGGCCGCAGCCCTCTCGGGTTGTAGATGCGGTAGGCCCGGCCAGTGATCTTTTTTAGCTGGTGTCGAAACACCGTCTGACAGCGCTCACAGCTGCGGCAGCTTCTTTCGTGAGCCGGTGAGTGTGCCAGTCCGCGCCAGTCCGCGCCCTTGTCGTGCCAGTGTGCTGTGAGAGAGGCTTGTATTTTAAGAATTCTTTCGAAGTGGATATTGTGGCGGCGTTGGGTAGCTTCATGATGGTGTTTTACCGCTAAGACACTCTTGTACGCCTCACTCACTCAGCGGGCTGAGACTAACTAACGGGCCCACGTACCTAGTTAGGGGATGGTAGGTAGGGGCCGCCCACCGCGAACCTCTTCTGGCGGCTCAGCATGGCGCGTGGCCACCGCGCGAGCAGATCTTCTGGCTCAACGTGGCGCTTGCGGGGCACACACACGACGCCCGCCTTCAACGGCGCGACAAATAAACTGAAATCGAAAGGGCGACTCGTTGTCCCACACGCCCAGCGCGACACCGTGTGGATGATACATGGTCTAACCGCGTTAGCCACGTGAGACAATCTCTCTACCGAGCTCGCCATGTGATCGATACATGGCAAGGCCCGTCGCGGGCGCTAGCGCAAGATCACAATCTCGTTCACTATCGCGAGATCACAACCTCGCTCACGGCTCAGGAGATGAGACAATCTCTCCGCCGAGTCCTCATTGTTGGCGTGGTTGGGATCGTCACATCTGACAACACCAGTGCAGGTGGGATGTCCGAGCTCGACACGCCGCCTCTGGTGCTGTGTGGCTGCATGGGGCTCGCAGGCGTCGTCCTGACGCTCTGTGTCGTGTACCCGGCGTACTACCATCTCCCTGGAGACGACCACGGCCGCTTCGAGGACTTTTACAATACGTGGCACAAATTCTCCCGCTCCCCCTTCATCCAGCTTATGCTGGGCATCTACAGGCGCCGGCCCCTCTCGAGTCTCGTTCACCCACTCGCCCCGCCACTTGCCCCATCACTGACCCCCTTGGAGCTGTTCAACAGCGTGCTCGTCCTTACTTTGAACGCGAGCATGCTGATCGTCATGCAGGCGCGCAGAGAGGCCCAACCCCTGTCCGGCCCCGGCCGGCCCGCGCCTCACGAACTCTCGCGCGGTGGCGTCACAGAAGCTCTCGTCGGTTTGGGGGGCCATCCTTAGCAACGCGCGGCCAGCGCTAACCTGGGCGGTGCAGCTCTTCCTCTTTTACGAGGTGACGGCGGGCGCGTACGGCGAGGCGTGGAAGGGTGCCGCCAGCTTTGTGCAGCTCGGGGGCTTTGGGCTGCTACTGCTGGGCATGGCGGTCTACAACGGGACGACAGCTGCCGGGCGGGCCACGAGCGACGGAGCACCCCATCCTGGACATGGAGGCCTCCGTCCGCCTGTCCCTGATGGGGCCGACGGCGTTCCGCACGTCACGCATGTCGGTCAAGAACCCGAGTCTGAAGCAAAAGCTGGTGGAGCCGTGAGGGGGGTCGGCGAGCCCCTCTCTCCACCCGGCCATTCCAACGGCCAGGCCGCTCGCTTAATTAAGGCTGATTGGCTAGACGAGCGGCCTACCTCCAACGGGGCGGTCTGCAATGCTGTCTTAAGGTCCGACCTGTGTGTGGGCTCTGCCTGCGCTCGGCACCGGGCACCGCCTCGGTATACAAAATGCGCCTGCGGGCGGACCCTCACAGATCACAGATCACAGATCACGTAAACGCACAAGGCCCCGGGGCTCGAGCTCTTTCACTACCCGGTAAGGGGGGCCCGAGAAGCTTAAAGAGGTACTCCGGTTTTTTTATCTTTCACGTAACGAACCCCCACCTTCGCTGTCTCGCGATCACCTACGCTCGTCCTCTCTGTGCACAGCTAGCTGAAGGCTCGAGGTGCGCCCCTCGCGCTCGCCGCCGGCATTCGGCGCTTCGTCACACGCACCCGGCCCTCGCAGGTGTCCGTCAAGTCAACCAGAGGCCCGCCGCCAGCCATCCCAAGCTAGTCCCAAACAGACGCAGCTCCGTTGACACAAGCCCCGCCCAAAAAACACGCGCATATCACACGGAGCGGGCTGGCTCAACGTCGGCGGCGGCACCTTTGGCAAGCGTACTTGGGCGGTCTCCACCGTCGGCTACATCGCCGGCCTCGCGCACGCGGCACGCCTGCTTTGCATGAGCATATATGCGGCGAGTCGACGTCTTTGCGCCACCCGCATTTTTCGATCACCATCCTCACCATCCTCATCACCATCCTCGTCACCATGGAATCTCGTCACCATCCTCGTCAACATCCTCATCAACAACGTCGCCATCTGCTTCTTCACCGTCGTCATCATCCTCCCCTTGATCGTCATGACGCAGGCCTCTGCCCGCTCTGACATCCCATCCCTTGTGCCTTGAGTGCTCGGGCAACCCGCGCTGCTCATGAGGCTCGTAGGGGTGGAGATCCCGGGGCGAGCCGAGAGGGACCTGGCCTCGAGCAGGCGCGCAGCTCGCGCACGCTCTCTGTGTACACCGTGGCCAGCCCAGAACCTTCTCAGAACCTTCCAGAACGGGTGGGCCCTTGAACTTTCTCGGAACCTTCCCGTAGGTGCCGCTTCGCCCCGGACGAGGCAAAAGGACCCTCCCTCCGCCCCCTCCCCCACCCCCTCCTCCTCTCCGTCATCTCCGCCCCCGTCCCCTCCCCCCTCGCCTCCGCCTCCCCCTCTTCTTCTCTGCGTCCGCCCGCCTGCCCGTCGCGGCCGGAATGCCCCCCAATCCCTCCCCCAGAGCTCTTCCCCGTCTAGCGCCCGACCCATCGCGGCCCCTCTCCCTCTCCTCTCACCAGACATTGCACCTCCCCACCTCCGCGTAGCCGCCGGCGACGCTTGGCGAGGACGGCGAGGAGCGACCTGGGCCGGGGGCCGCTGCCTGCTCGGCGAGGCCATCCTACTCGAGAAGGCCGTCGAGCTCTTCACGGGAGGGGCAGAGCCCAGGCCGTCGTGCCGACGGCGACCTGGCCTCGAGCAGGCGCGCAGCACGCGCACACTCTCCGTGCCAGCGCCTCGCCTTCCCGCCTCCCTCCGGCCCCCCCGACCCCCGCCGCACCCTATCACCCCTGCCTCTCGCCGACCCAACGCGCGCAGCCTGCTTCGGAATGCGTGCAACATGAACATGCAGCGCCGGCATGCCTCACGCAGAGGGAGGGCCTGCCTCTCGCCGCAGTGGGAGAGGCTTCGCTCAACCCCGCCAGGCTCACTCCCCGACGGCGCGTCTAGATCGTGCGCGGCCTCTCCTTGCTTCTTTCGCGAGTGGCAGGCGCACCCCCCCCCCCCCAAGCCCCACGCGCCCGCTATGCCCCTCCCCGACGCTAAGCGCCTTGCGTCTCGCCAATCCGACACCGCGCGTCACCTGTTTACCTGCGCAGCCGGCGCGCCGGCTGGGCCGGGAGCTGCGATGGCCGCCAAGCCGACGGAGCTCAAGAGGGCCAGCAGGCACGCTCTCACTGACCGTCCGCTGCACCCTCCAGCCCCGTGGGTGCCTCCCATTCAAGCACTTGAATGACGCACCTGCTCCCCGGCCCCACAGGGCGTTCGCGCGGTCACTGTCACATCTCGGCCCGTCCTCGACATCGACCCGACCGCCCTCATCGCCGCTCCAGTCGACGCGGCGTTCGACCCGGCCATGTGTGCGCGAGAAGCCCTACGTGGCGCTCTTCGGGCTCGCCGCATCGAGGACGGGCTCTCAGCTCTCATGAAGGGCGGCGGGCCGTGTCCGGAGAAGGTGCCGGCCGCGGCGCCCTCGCCCCTCCCTCCCCCCACCCCCCCCTTTCCCCCTCCATATCGTCTTCCCCCCTCCGCCCGCCTCCCTTCCCGCCTGCCTCCACCCTTCTCCCTCGCGCAGGCCCGCGTCGCCATCTCCGGCATGCCGGCAGCCCACTTTACCGTCGCCTCCTCGGTCGCTGCCGCTTCCCTCGCAGTACGAGGTCGGCGTACCGTCTGCGCGTACCTGCTCGAAGGCCTACAACCGCACCGCGGCGGCTTGTCGCAGGCGACCACCGAGTGCTACACGGACATCGCGGACGAGAGTGCGGTGCGCCGCTGCGTTACCGCCCCGTGGGTGCCTCCCATTCAAGCACTTGAATGACGCACCTGCTCCCCGGCCCCACAGGGCGTTCGCGCGGTCACTGTCACGTCTCGGCCCGTCCTCGACATCGACCCGACCGCCGTCATCGCCGCTCCAGTCGACGCGGCGTTCGACCCGGCCATGTGTGCGCGAGAAGCCCTACGCGGCGCTCTTCGGGCTCGTCCGCATCGAGGACGGGCTCTCAGCTCTCATGAAGGGCGGCGGGCCGTGTCCGGAGAAGGTGCCGGCCGCGGCGCCCTCGCCCCTCCCTCCCCCCACCCCCCCCTCCCCCCCCTCCAGATCGTCTTCCCCCCTCCGCCCGCCCGCCTTCCCGCCTGCCTCCACAGCCCTTTTCGTTCGCGCGCAGGCCCGCGTCGCCATCTCCGGCATGCCGGCAGCCCACTTCACCGTCGCCTCCTCGGTCGCTGCCGCTTCCCTCGCAGTACGAGGTCGGCGTACCGTCTGCGCGTACCTGCTCGAAGGCCTACAACCGCACCGCGGCGGCTTGTCGCAGGCGACCACCGAGTGCTACACGGACATCGCGGACGAGAGTGCGGTGCGCCGCTGCGTTACCGCCCCGTGGGTGCCTCCCATTCAAGCACTTGAATGACGCACCGGCTCCCCGGCCCCACAGGGCGTTCGCGCGGTCACTGTCACGTCTCGGCCCGTCCTCGACATCGACCCGACCGCCGTCACCACGCGTCTTACTGG